ATTTTTTTTCCCCTTTATGGTTTAATGCAGTTATTTATGTTCATGAATACAATGTACATTAAAATACTTGTTTGTCAAGCAACTATTTACACTAAGTGTAAATGTAGTGTTAATAGTATGCCATTTGCATTAAGTATAGCACCAACTACTAAAAGTGAAGATTTGAATAGATGATATGCAATGCTGACTATCTGCATTGAGTGTAATAAAAAACACTGTCAGTTCTTTATGCAGGATGCACATGCAAAACAAGCTAAAAACTTTTTCTGATTTAGTTTATTGCTGTGTTGTGCATCGGTAAAACAAAAGAGCAACACTGTTGTGGTTATCACTATTTACAGATGAAAGATTTGACACAACTAGACATGATTTAGCGTTTTGTGTTTCAGATGTTCCAGCAGAGATCAATGAAATGAGGAGAAGTTCAGTGAAGGAGGGGGAATCTGCCACATTTGACCCTGGTGTAATAAAACAAACGAATAATTTGATGACGTGGTATTTTGATGACGTTCGCATCGCTGAAATCACTGGAGATCAGAGTGAGATCTGCACAGATGCACAGTGTGATGAGCGATTCAGAGACAGACTGAAGGTGGATCATCAGACTGGATCTCTGACCATCACACACACCAGAACCACAGACTCTGGAGATTATAAACTACACATCATCAGCAGTAGCAGCATCATCATAAAGAGCTTCTGTGTTACTGTCACTGGTGAGTATCATTTGGTCACTCGTTACATTCAAAGTACTGTTCTTTGTCACAACATAGAAAGCCTTATCATAATTGATTCTGTTATTTTCCTTCATCTTATGTATCACTTTGCAGCTGCTTTGACACAATCTGTATTGTATAAAAGCGCTATACAAATAAAGTGATGACAGTTTCTCTTTATCATTACAGATTCAGGTCTGTCTCCAGCTGCTGTAGCAGGAATATGTGTTGTTGTTCTGTTTGTGGTTGTAGCTGTTGGTACACAATATAGACTACATGAGCGGCAAGTATTAGATACAGCTGATTTATTGAACTGGAAATACAAGATTTATAATTAAAGTCATTTGTTTAATTGTGTTTGTTTTTCAAACAGGCATCAGCAACATGATGATCGGGTGAGGTACTATGTATGCTGAATGTGTGAGGTAGTGCCAAAACAATACAAATGAATGAATGACCAAATGAAATTAAATCTCTATAAAAAAAAGTGATTTTTTATTTAGAGAGCAAGTGAGGGTTAAAGGGGTCAT